AAAAAAAAAAAAAAAAAAATTATGCATACTGCATTGAAACAGATGAGGGAGAGAACAGTTTAAAGGTGATATATTATAGGGTATTATGGTTATCACAGGAGTCCAGAATAAAGGTTGCAGAGTGGAGTGTACTTGGGGCGGGGGACTGTATACCAATGAAGGAATTTTTCTTTTACTTTTCAAAGAGAAGAGTGAACTGGGGATGGAGGGAGGGTGGGCAGGGAGAAAAGTGCAACAATGAATGAGCGGAAATCTAAAATCTCTAAATGTTCATTAAAATAAAAATAAATTTAAAAAAGGTTGTAAACAGGAGTGACATCCACTTCCTAAACCACACGCCTATGGAAAATTCTATTAATTTGAAGAAATGATGAAAATTACGGAAAGGCTTTAGGTCTTTTGTTCATAGAATCGTTATGAATCGTACTCGATGGCAATCAACAACAACAACTGTTTCACTCAGCTTTATTATTCCAGAGCCCTTCAGGTCCCAACTTCATTTACCTTGTAGGGCACTTCTCCCAGCCTCACCACTCTTGCTTGTTTCAGCCACGTGTCCTTGGAGTGCAGTGTGTGCACACAGTCCCTACAGGAGCCAAAATGCGGGTGGTGGTAGGAGAAACACAAAAACAAATTCAGTCCATGTTCCACATGATGGGACATCTATACACAAGGCATCTTACGCACCAAGGTACCAACTCATGACCCTGCAGGTGAAGGAAGCTCAGCTTTGCATCTCTTCCAAGGACCTGCCTTGTGGCCCAGAGCAGGCTCTGCTTCTCAGGCAACTAGAGGATCTAGCTAGGTCAGGCAAGCCACTTTTGTGGCTTAAAATTTTTTTAGGAGGTGGCAGGAGAGAATTCTGTTTCCATTAACAAGAATTATTTTGGCTGCAGCTTCATGCCTTGCCTTCCTTCCACCCATTCCCAAGTTTCCCGCTCCTCTGCTGTCCAAGGCCCAAAGAGGCACAAGGATATTTTCTCACAAGGGATGGCCTGGTAGTCCAGCCTTGAATTAAACACTAGAGTCAGGGGACAAGTGACCAGGGAAAGGGAAAATGAACCCCAAGGATTACAAACTATAATGAGTTAAAAAACTAATGTGGGATCAAGATTCCTAAAAATGGAAGAGATAAATAATTTATGGCAGTCAGTGATGATGGGTAGGAGTGAGTGGTGTTCTTTTTTAATGAATTCTGACACCAGCCATCCCTCCTTTGCCATTTCTTTCTCTTGGGTTTGGTACACTGTTACAATGCCACACAGGACTCTCAGACCATACTTGCAGAAAGGTAATATGTTTTAATTCAGGATCAGGAACAACTCAGGATGTAGTTCCTGAATCAAGACAGCTTCTCTACAGCTGTTCCTCCAGCAGATCCCTTTCTGGGCCCTTCAGCTCAGACAAGTGTCACAAAGCTCTATAGTTCTTTCAGTAAGAGCCTGGGGGAACCTCAAGGCACAAGTAAACCTTAGGTGCATAGCTCTCTTGCTCTTGTGGGTAAACAACCCTAGGTTCTACCACCAAGTGCCTCTAGACAGCCTATTGTGCTACCAAGTCTTCTGCCCTAAGACGTTAAACTCTCCTGTTCTATGGATCATCACACAACCACTGCAACTGCCTTGTTCCATGACCGATTCCTGGTTCTGCTGCCAAAATTGCTGTTACTACTCCTTACTGTCTTTCCCAGGCTCGGGCATTATAGCATCTGTCTCTTGGATCTACAAAGTTCTCAGTACAAGGAACTCAGGTTCAAAGGAACTGCTCTACTCCTGTATCTACTGGGTGGCAATCCTCCCTCTCCACCTTTTTTGATGGCTCATGTTAAGCCTAGTGGGATGACAAAACGGATCAATCCCCTTTTAGAGTTCCATATACCTTAACTCCATGTTCCTGCCTCCAAAGGGTACCATGTTCTTTATCTGTATCATTAGGAAGTTGTCCAATCCCCTTGGTGAACGACAAGAACCTCATTTATATAGTTCCAGTCAATCTTTTGGTGTAATTAATAAGACCATAGCTAAAAGGTCATATAAAAACTCATCCACCCACACCACGACTACAGTTTGGCAATTCTACTTTCCAATTCCTTTCCTTAATTAGTATTCCTTAACAAGTCATGCCCATTTCTTCTTTAGTTTGAATCCCTAAACAGAGAGCTCCAGAGAGAGTAGCAATGTTCTCTCAAATGCAGAAATAAAGCTCATTGCAAAAAAATTCTACAGTTTGAATCTCACAACAGAAATATGAGTTTAACCCTATCTGTCTCACTTCTGATCTGGGTAATCCAGTATAAGTGATTTTAAATTGCTTTAAGTTAGGGATAATAGACTTTTTCCTTTATGCCTAACAAGGCTTCTGGAAAAACTAGACACTCTAAGTGCTGAAGCAGGGTACTTCTATCCACAACATCATTCTGAGAGAGCTCTATCCCTTTCTACACTTTCACAGCCAGTAAACATATTTGATTACCCAAAGTATGTCACTGTCATGATCTTCAGAAGACTTACTGAGATTATTACCTTGAGAACTGTTTCACACTAGGTTCAAAACGAAAGTCGCCTTAGAGTTAAATAACAAACTGGTTCAAAAATGATGAGAAATGAAGTCTCAATACATGAGAAAATGTGTGGGACTTGAAGACATTATACTGAATGAAATAAGCAAATCACAGGAATACAAATATTATATGACCTTACTTACAAAGAAAGACATAAAGGGCAAATGTATAGATGCCAAAGTTTATTAATTGTTTCTAGGGGCAGGAGGGAGGAGGAGAAAAAGAGTTAACAGTAATGGGAAAATTACAAAATGGGCAAAAGACATGGAAAGAATTTTCACAGAGAAAGATATTTGAATGGCAAACAGACACATGAAAAAAATGCTACAAATCACTGGCAATAAGAGAGATGCAAATCAAAACCTCAATGACATACCATCTCACTCCAGTTATAGTGGCAAAGTTTAACAGGGCAGCAAGTAATAGATGTTGGAGAGGATGTGATGAGAAAGAAACTCTTATACATCGTTGGTGGGACTGTAAAATGGTGCAACCATTCTGGAAGGCAGGTTGGTGCTTCCTCAAAAAGCTGAACACAGAAATTCCATATGACCCAGGTATTCCACTACCAGAAGAATGTCTATCTGTGTTTCATTGACTATGCAAAGGCATTTGACTGCGTGGATCATAACAAACTGTGGCTGACTCTGAGAAGAATGGGAATCCCAGAAGATTTAATCGTGCTAATGCGAAACCTATACTTGGACCAAGAGGCAGTAGTCAGAACAGAGCAGGGCAACACTGCATGGTTCAAAATTGGGAAGGGTGTATGCCAGGGATGTGTCCTGTCTCCATACCTTTTCAACCTGTATGCAGAGCAGATTATCCGAGAGGCTGGGCTCTATGAGGAGAAGCGTGGCGTTAGGATTGGTGGACGAGCTATCAACAATCTGCGTTATGCAGATGACACAACCCTGCTCGCTGAAACTGAGGAGGATCTCATTCACTTGCTGCGAAGGGTCAAGGACTGCAGCCTTCAATATGGCCTGAGGCTCAATGTCCAGAAGACAAAAATTCTCACCACTGGACCAATTGGTAGCATCAGGATGGATGGTGAAGAGATTGAGATTGTTCATAGCTTCAGTTTGTTCGGCTCCACGGTCAACACTCTTGGCACCAGTAGCCAGGAAATTAAAAAACGTATTGCGATGGGAAAGTCTGCAGTTAGGGACCTCTCTAAAGTACTCAAGAGCAACGGTGTCTCTCTGGAGACTAAGGTGCGCCTGATACAGGCCATGGTTTTTGCAATCATTGGTTATGCATCAGAGAGCTGGACAATGACTAGGGAGGATAGAAGGAGAATTGACGCCTTTGAGCTGTGGTGCTGGAGAAGAGCACTGAATGTACCATGTACTGCCAAGAAAACAAATAGATTCATCCTAGAGAGGGTTAAACCAGGCTGCTCCTTGGAGGCAAGGATTCTGGGGCTTCGCCTGACATACTTTGGACATGTTGTAAGGAGAGACAGGTCTTTGGAGAGGGACATCATGCTGGGCAGAGTGGAGGGACCGCGCAGGAGGGGAAGACCCTCTATGAGGTGGACTGATTCAGTGACTGGGGTAATCGGGATGGATGTGTCAGAGGCAGTGAGGTTGGCACAGGATAGAGCAGGGTTTAGGGCTGTTGTACATAGGATCGCTATGAGTCGCAAGCGACTCGACGGCACATAACAACAACAACAACAATAATTTCACTACTTGGAATATACACTGAGAATATGAGAACTGAGGCACAAACTGAGATTTGTACACCAACGTTCATAGCAGCATTACTCACCATTGCAAGAACATGGAAACAGCCCAAATGCCCAACCACAAATGAATGGACTGAGAAATTATGGTACATGCACACGATGGAATACTATGCAGCACGCAGGAGCAATGACTTTATAAATTATTACCTAACTTGGGAGGGACTAGAAAGCATTATGCTGAGTTACTAATTCAGTCCTCCAACGATAAATATTGTATAAAACCGTTATTACAGAATGAGTTTAAGGATCCAGGAGGGGTGGGAGAGGCTGGAAGCAGAGAGATGTGGATGTGTGTGTGAAGGGGTGGTATTAAACACTGGGCTGTACAATTTGATGGGGGTGGAGAAGGAAATTCAAAGAGTATGTTCAAATTTGTATTTGAATTTTGTAAATAAACAAGTAGGAAAAAATAAAATAAAAAAGTGAAAAAAAGAGCAATGGAAAAATTACACTTATTGAAGTCAGTTGTATTGCCCAGCAAGTCATGTATCTGTAAAAAAGCTGAACTGGCAAAATGTGGGTGATAGATATATTCCTAGGAAGAAATATAGCTCCTGAGGCTACTTATGTACAAGCAAATAACACATGGGATTTAGTTCTACAGTTTGGAGGTTTATGGTCATGGTTGTACTGAATTATCTCACTTAACTATCCTGACAATGTTGAGAGATTCCATTCTACTTCCTAGTTTGCTGTGTAGTACCTCGGGTCTTAAAATTTTGCAAGTGGCCATCTAAAGCACAATTAGTGCTGTATAATTCACCTGAAAGAACAGAAAAAAGAGGATAGTGAGGAACAAGATTAAGATAAGGAATATATGGCCAACTGCCTCTATGAACAACTGCTTCTTTGGAAAAGAGACAGACAATTACCAATATTTTGATCAAAGATATCACAGAAGAATTTTGATCAAAGGGGGGAAATGCAGAGTAGATATTAAAGTTGTCAAGAACTCCATACTTTCTCAAGCCATGAAGGTTAATGAATTCCTGAAATTATGCTCTGAGACAGTCTTCTAATCTTAAACTGAAAATATCCTCTGAAGTCATCTTAAACAGTTGACTTTAGCAAAAAAAAAGGTCTGCTTTGAGCATTATACTATTTTAAGAATTATCTATATAAGGTCAAATTGACAATGTTTTTGTTGTTATGTACTATGAAGTTGGAAGTGACTGAAAGCTAATCTTCCAGCAAGTTTTCATAGATCACATGGGAGAATGCCCATCTTTCTCCAGAATAGCTGGTGGATTCAAACTGTGTGCCTCCAGATTGGCAACACAATTTTTTACATTAATTAATTAAGCTTGTTAGTTAGTTATGTATGTATGTATGTATATGTGTACCGTTAAATTGGATCTGACTGGTACAGGAGGCAATTGTTCCTCCTTATTCAGCAGAGCATCCGGTGGATTTGAACAGCACACCTCTGGGATTGCAGTGCAGTTTCCTGCCACTAGGCCACCAGAGCTCGCCAGCAACACAACTGTTTACCACTAAACCACCAGACTGGGGTGGGAGTAGGGGGCTGAGCAGGAACTATAATTGGCAGGACTGAGAGCTTTGTAACACTGGCCTAAAGCCACAAGGCTCAAGGCTGAGGTGGCTGTGAGCACATGTAAGAAGCTGTCCTGAAAGCATTCTGCCACTAAGCTTTGACTTCCCTTGTACGGTTCTGTGAGCTAGTGCATCAGATTGTGGACCCAGTAAAGTAGCAAGAGGATGCAGTAGCAAGAGGTGCAGGAGCATGGGAGACAGATCTGACCTCAAGGCAATTGGTTTTGTGTTGTTGCTGTTATAATGCTGATGAGGACAATTCCCTTCTGTGAGGCTTGTAAAGGTCTGCAATGGTCATCCCCATGGAGCCCTTGCTCATTTTATAGCTACATAGGGAAAATCTACTGTCAAGGACATCTCAAAAGTGCTAAAGAGCAATGAAGTCAGTTTAAAGACTAAGGTCCACCTGACCAAACCATGGTATTTTCAGTTACTTCCTATGTATCTGAAAACTGGATGAGTAACAGAAGAACTGATGTCTTAGAGTTGTGCTGTTGAAGTCCTGTTGCTGAAGCCCACATTCCATGGACTGCAAAAAAGAATCATCTAGTCTGTCTTGCAGGAAGTGCAACCAGGATGTTGCTTGGAGGCAAGTGTGGGTCAAGAGAAATAGGAAGACCTGCAACAAGAAGGACTGACACTGTGAGTATAGCCATGGGCTTGAGCATATTAGAGATCACGGGGATTGTGCAGGAGAGGACAAGGTTCAGATCTGTTGTTCAGAAGGGCCATGGGGGGAGGGGTTTGTTAATCGTTGTGTTCCATAATTTGATGGGTGGGAGCAGTGAAGGAAATGAGAAGGATCGTTTGTGAAAAACAATGTATTCAAACTTTGTAAATAAATCAGTATAAAATGAAAAAAAAAAGGTCACGAGTTATAGTCAACTTGCTGTCACCTAACAACTGAGTTTATAATTCTGCCAAAATGACTGGCTAGTTTATTATGCAAATCAAATATGCAAAACTGTTCAACAAGGTTAAATGACCCTGCAGCAACTGGCCAAATGCTATGCAAATTGAATGAGTGTAGAACACTGAGCGGATTGGTCAGTTTGTTGTTTGGCTTGGAAAGCCAATGTCTTGAAACTGAATATAAAGAACAATCCCACAGATGCTTGAGAAAAAGCAGAGAATGTTTTTGGGATCTGGGATACCTGAGCTGAGAATATCTTACACTTGGAAGAAAAAGTAGAAACATTAAAGTCAGTGTCAGTTGGTGAGAAAGGATAGCACAGCCGAACCCAGTGGCAGAGAAGCTGTGTTAACAGTACAAATGAAAACTAGCTGACTAGTGGCTGCAGTGAGTTTGCCGGCTCATCACTGAGCTCCTTCTGGCAGGATGCTTACTGGCAGAGTAGGGGACTCTGGGCACGTACCAGGAGAGCTGAAGAGCTGTAACCCCTGCCATAGCACGGCACAAGCCAGAGAAGTGCCTGTTGGCTGGAATGGCCCAGGGAAGGCTGCCTGCCTGTGGGTACAGCCTAGAAGCAGCTGAGAGCTGTTTTGGCTGGAAGAGAGTCTTTTGGGAGATGTATTCAGTTACTTTCCAAGGTGATCCTGATCCTGAGTTGTAGTCAGCTATTTCTTCAATAAACTTCATAATCATGCATACAGACTGCATTCTGAGGCCACTGGGACAAATTATCTCACCCAATAAAGCTGAGCGCTATGGGGGAGGATGGCTGGTGTTACTAATCACGAAAATGTTGGGAGAATGGAGGGATAGTTCATGGAAACTACCTATGTTCTGATCTTGATTCTCATCCTTCCTGGGTGGGTAGGCCCTTATACTAGATAACCCTACTCCTGCCCTACAGCATCACATGTACACACCAGAGCTCATCCCTGACATGGTAGACCAATGAGATGGGCTCATCTAGCATCACCACTGCTAGGCCCAGGCAACCAGGAAGCCCCCAAGGCTGCCTCACTCACCTCGAGTAGACAGCTTCTCCACGGCAGTACCCGAGAACGGCAGCAGTTTCAGGGTAGATGGCCTCATATTTGAGCAGATGCCTCTTCAAGGCGTACAGAGGGTGGTTCTTGTATGTGCCAACAGCAGTGGGCAAAGGCTGGTCCAGGTGTTTTGCCTGAAACTGCAAAGGTCAGAAAGACACTGCTAAATGTGTTATTCGGAAGAGCAAGTAGGGGCCTTGCTGGACAATGCTTGGACTGCTTTGTTTTGATAAGATATGGTAGAGCAGAGGTTTCATAAACACTAATGACTCTGTAATACCACATTTAGAGTTTGGGCTATTAAGCAGATTTTAGATAAACTGCAAGTCATGAAGACTCTGTGGCTTACTACAAGCTTCATCTAATCTAATCTCACTCCCTTAGCCACCTTAACCTGCCGCAGAAGTTAGTGCCTCTTCTAGTAAGAATCTTCAAGGAGGAAAAACCCCCCACAGCTTTCTTAAGAAGGGAGAAAATACTCAACACTACCTTAACATACTATTCTATGACCCAGGTTAACCTGGCCCTGCTCTCAGAGGAAACTGAGACAAGGCATCAGGACTGTGACTGTTCTCAGTCACCATAAGCATACATGTTCTCTTAGCAGAAGTTAATCCCACTGCTACTATTCAAAACATCGCCACCAAGTTCTCTTCAGCTTTCCCTTACCATCTTTTAAAAACCATGCCCAGGACTCTACGTGGAGTAGATGAAGGTAGGAGGGGACCTGTGTGTGGTTAACAGTGACCATGCAGTTCTAATCCAATCTGACGTTTCTAAGTAAAAAGAACCAAAGCCACTCCCAGTGCAAACTCTCAAGGTGGGATGAATGGTAATAAAGCCAGGTTACTCCCATCCTTAGGGATTAGGAACAACTCTTCCACAAATCTGTATAAAAACGTTCAGCTCCCCAAATAACTTAACCGTGGGACAGACACATGGGGGCAGGACTCGGACCAGTGAGCAGATGTGCTAATTAATGTGCTATGCTACTTCCCGGGGTACCCTTGTGCTGCGAGCCTTCCTTCCCAGAGATGAGCCTTCTGTATGTTTAGAGGACAAGGGGGCATACTTGTATTAATAAATCATTCTTTCTTTCATTTAGAATGAGTTATGTGACTTGCATAAAGTTTTATCAAGTTGTAATCTTTTAATGGATCAGTAAGTAAAAGTACTCAGGCTTGAAAACCATAAGCACCTGAAACACTACACCAGTTTATCTTTCCATTTCTCTCTTTTTTAAAAAAAAAATCAAGATAATATCCTGCGTCAGACTGAACTGTGTCCCTCAGAAGTATGTATATGTAAGGACATAACGTGAAAGTTCTGTAATGATCCTCCATGAAATAAGCACTTCGATGAGGGTTCAGGGTAGGATGTAACATCCTTAATTGCATCACAGACTCCCGCAATGTAATGGGGAGTTCCCCAGCCTGTGCCACATTTGATCTCACAAGAGATAAAAGGACCAAAAAAATCAAGCAGAGGGAGAACTGTAGCACCAGTAGGACAGAAGAGTAGGAGGGGAGCATGTCCTCTGTCCCCAGGTCCCTGTGCTGGGAAACTCCTGACACAAGAGGGGGCCGAGATACATGGAGATCTCCAAGAGATAACGGACCCACAGATGCCGAAAGTAGACAGAGAGACAGCAAGTCCTCCCTACTCAGCACCCTGCTTTTATGTGTCTAGCCACCTAAACGGTAAAGAGAGAAAACTGTTTAAGTTATCCATTTGAGGGACCGCTGTTAGAGAAGCACTAAATAATTAAAAGACACTGCTTTACAGGGATGTGATAATTAAGTGAGATATTACATCTACAACACCCAACACTGTGCTAAGCACACATATATAAGGTACTCAAAACTGGGAATAATTTCAATAATCTAAGCAGATCTTCAAGCCCCTGGTAGTCAAGGCCTTACCTCTAGTTCCTCTTTGTTTTCTCTATCCACAAACGGGCTCTGGTATGGTCTTAAGGTTTCAGCCCACCACTTGGCATCAACCCGACATTTTCGGGTAGCTGTCATCCAGGCTGGGTCATACCTCTGTGTGACATCCCGCACCCAGCCATCATTGTCAATGCCCACCACGTAGGTCATGGGCTTGGTGGCGTATCTGTAGCAGGTCAGAGGCTGGCCCACCACCCCGTGCACACAGTCCACACACACCCACTTCTCCTCCTGCTCACAGAAGACCTCTAGCCACTGGTCAACACCAGCTGCAGTTGCTTTCCCTCTTTCTATCTCTTCAACATCACTGGGAATTTTCTTGCCTCTTTTGTTGCTTGCAGAGCTTGAGGATGCTGCAGGATCGTCTGGGGGATCAGGGCTGCTTCCACGCTTGGTCTGAGAGTTCCTCTTGGATGTGGGCTTTGTCCTCCGAGGAGCTGAAGGCCGTTTCTGTTTCAGAAGGCCAGTGTCAGAATCTTCATCAGATAGAGACTGAGCTTCCCCATCAGAGATTTCAAAGTCAGAGCTACTGCTGGCCGTATCACTGCCACTCTCCTCTTTGTAAGATACCCGTGACACCACACGCCGCCGCCGGCCACGCCGCCACTGCTGCGTCTCCTCCTGCTCCCATCCCTTTCTCTGTTTCTTACTACCTGTAGCTGCCTTGCCCTTCTTTCCTGTGGCACCTGGACTGCCAGTGTCCTGAGAAGTGGTTTCTTCTTGTTTAATTCCTTGGCTGGCCTTTGGTTTGGTTTGGTTTTTAGGAACACGGCTGGGAGTCTTGGAAGAGCATCCAGGACCCTCGGTGGATCTCTCCTTGGAAGGTTTCTTTGTCTTAAACAGAATAAGAAATTTTGCTATTATTTTTTTCCCCTTTTTATTAATGATACAATAGAGATCTTGCAACCTAACTGGCGGGAAAACCAACACATGCACAAAATTCCCTCCGCAGACAGTGATCAGGTAACTATCCTGTAGAGGTGTAAGGCAGGAGTAGCTAAAATATGCAGCGCTCAAGATAAGGCCAGCATCTTAATTCTTTAAACCCTAAACTAGAGTACAGAGGAAAGAGTCCGGGATTTGGAAATAGACTTGAGTTCAAGTTTTAGTTCTGCCTCTTTTGTTAAGTGGTTTAAACAAATTCCCTAGCCACTGATATTCAGCAAGAATAATAATGTATTTTCCAAAATAATTATATAATTTTAAGACTACAGAAATTATGAAATAAACTTTTGGATTATCAGGTTTCAGATAATGTCAACACTTCCTTTCCTTGAGGTATTCCAATGGTCACAGAGTCCTTTACCGTCACTGCCCTATACTGCTAATGAGAACAGGTACAACCATATCCCCTTTACATAACTGAAATTAAAGGGCTTAAAGGTCCAGACCTCATGCAAGCCACTGAATTCCCAAAAGGTAAGTTCTCGGAGAAAGCTCAGCTGGCTAGATTATCTACGTAAGTCTTCTACAACCTGTGGGCAGGCTTGAAAGCTCCCCTTAAATAAACCTTTTAAACATTATTTTTCAAATGTGATAACTATCTCTTCTCTCGGACCAAGTATCCCTTTTCTCTGAAAGCCCTGGAACCTCACCTTTGCTGCTGGTAACTTCAGAGGAATTGGTTGTAGAGACAACACCAGTCGGGTGAGTAGATGCAAGGCTCGGAGAACCAGTAAAAATATCTGTGATGAAAAAGAATGATATATGTAACCTAAGAAAATAATCAGGAATGTAATTTGTTTAATGATGTTTGCTGTTGTGCTTTCTGATAAGTGAAAGCTGGTAACAAAGAACTAAATTAAAAAAAATATTCCATGCAACCAGTAAACAGAACAAAAAAAAAAGGGTGGCAATACAAATTGAACAGACTTTAAATCAAAACCTCTAACACTGTAAAGGAGGATGCTAAATAATAAAAAAAGTTAAATCTAACAAGAATTAACAATTACAAACATAGATGTACCTGTAAAACAAATACTAACATGAAAGGAGAAGAAAGGTAATTTCACAGCAATAGGAGACTTCAACACATCCTTTCAATTACAGATAGACTCTAAAAAAATCACACTTCAACACAAGACAAACACTTCAATAAAACCACAAGACAAATGGATTTGGTACACCCATCACATATATATACAACACTCCACGCAACACAGAGTATACATTCATCAAAAGATGGATCATTTTCCAAAATAATCTATATTTGTTGGTGAATAAATTTTTTAAGATGGAAATCACATAAAGATCTTCTCTGATATAGGATAGGAAGCTAAAAATCAACAATAGAATATGTAAGGGGGAAAGGGAACAAATATATGGAAAAAAAATCTATGTTAGGAAAGTAGTGAGTTACAGAAATAATCAAAAGCGAAAATAAAAATCTCTAGGACTAAATATAAATGAAGAAACAACCTACACTTGAAACACACCAAAAGCAGTAGTCAGAGGAAAATTTATAACAATAAATGCCAACATTAGAAAAAAAACCATAGCACCAAAACAACAAAGGCAGAACGGAAAGAAAATCAAAACACCATTCATAGAATGAACAAAAACAGTAACTGGCTTTTAAAAATTGGTAACACAATAAACCACAGGTCAAGGGCAATAAAGAGCATAGACTAATACCATGAAAAGCTAAATCTTGACAAATTTGGAATTCTAGAGGAAGTGCACAAATTCCCAGTAACACATTATCTACTCACACAAACAAACAGGTGTTGAAAGTTTAAAGAGATTCATATAGTCAAATTCCTTTGCACGTAAACATCTTTTATAGCATTCTCAAGTCTTTTTAGTCATATCTGCTTTCAGCCAAGATTCATCTGTTATCAGCAATGATATCCCTCTAGCCCCAGCCTCTTTTGACTCTAGCTTGGTTTCTCTGGGACTTCCCTGTGGATACAGCTGTTTTTGAAAATTTTCAGCAAGATTTTACTTGCATATGATATAATGATACTCATATGGTCTTCAGCTGTTAAGTGTTCAATGAATCAAATCTGTTCTTGAGACAGTTTTAAAATCCAGTTGCAATAAACTCAAGGTCATTTATTGGTTTTTTTTTTTTCCTTAAGGCTGATTAGTTTAATTTGATAGAAGAAATGCTTTCAAACAATACAAAAGACACAGAGAGAGCAGTGACAAAAAAAAAAAAACAACAACAAAGAGATGAATACTGATTATAACATTTTCCCACAACAGAGGAATTCTTGATTTCAGCGGTTATCAATCAAAGCTGGACAAATCAGTTATCAGATGAAGTGAAAACCAAATTCCCTTTTATGCATAGTAGTTTTAAAAAAGCCAGGTGGCAGGATTTGGATAATTTCTTGATTAGAATTGCAGCTAAAACAGAGCAGAATTCTTATGGACTTGTTTTCATTTCCTTCACTTTTTATTTGAACTTGCACATAAGTAACTGATGGTCTGTTTCACAGTCAGCACCCGGCCTGGCTCTGAGTGCCGATAGTGAGCTTCTTCACTGACTATCTTCACAGATGCAGGCAATTTGATTCCTGTGTATTCCAGCAGATGAAGTCCATGTATATAGTTGTCATTTATGGTTTTTTAAAGATATTTGCAGTGAATAAACCACTGATTGTATAAAATTCAATCGTTTGATCTCTAGCTTCACTTTTGTCACTAAGTTTGTATTTTTCAACTATCAGTCTTTCTACTTAGTTTTAAACTTTTGTACTCTAGTTACCAATTATTATTAATGCATCTTGATTGCATGGGTAAAACTGAGAGAATGAAAACTCCAGAACACTTAATTGTGCTCATGTGGAGCCAAAAGCTATTTTGTTAGAACAAAACAAGGGGACATTATATGTTTTAAAACCAAAGGTGTATGTTAGGGCCATATCCTGTCTCCACATCTACTGGATCTAAGCAAATCATTTAAGAAGTCATACTGTATGAAGACTGTATCACCAAGACTGGAGGAAGACTCATCAATAGCATGCCTCATGCAGGTGACACAAGCTTATTTGCTTCAAGTGAAGAGAAAATGAAACACTTGTTGCAGAAGATCAAAGACTATAGCTCCCAATATGGGTTACATCTCAGCACCAAGAAAATAAAAATCCTACTTACAACCTGGAGAGAATAAAATAGATGAATGAGACCTTCTAAGAATCAAATCCCTATACACATCAAAAAATTTCTCCAACAGGGTAAAAAGGAAAAAAGTAAACCCACAGACTGGGAAAAAGTATTTGGTAATGACATATCTGATAAGGGACTCATCTAAAATTTATAGAATACTCCAGTAACTCAACAAGAAAAAGGTAAACAACCTAATCACAAAATGGGCATAGGGTATGAATAAATACTTCAAGAAGACATTCAGATGGCAAACAAATACACAAAGAAACGTTCAAAGAAAAAAAAATGTTCTCTGTCAGAGATCCTAACAAACACATGAAGAAATGCTCAAAATCCCTAGTTGTCAAAATAACTATGCGATATCACCTCCCTCGATTAACAACAGCAAAGTTCAACAGAACAACAAACAAATGCTGGCAAGGTTGTGGGAAGACTGGAACCCTTACTCACTGCTGGTGGGAGTGTAAGATGGTATAACCACTGTGAAAGGCAGTAGGGCGCTTTGTCAAAAAGTTGTAAATAGAAATACCATTTGATGCAGCAATTCTACTACTGGGAATATACTCTAAAGGAACCAGAACTGCCACCCAAACAGATATATGCACACCCATGTTTATTGCTGCATTATTCATAATAGCAAAGAAATGGAAACAACCAAAGTGCCCATCAATGAATGAACAGAAAAACTATGGTACATTCATACAATGGAATACTTACACAGCACTGAAAAACAAGGAACTCATAAAATATTATACAACATGGGTGACCCTGGAGGACATTATGCTGAGTTAAATATCTCAGTCACAAAAGGTCAAATACTGCATAACACAACTGTTAAAAAAAATTTGACAGGTGGTTGAGGGGAAACTAAGAAGAGTGGCTAAATAAGGACTACTACATTGGAATAGACGAAGGAAAGAAATGTTTAAAAGGAATATATGATAAGGCATTATTTGTATGACAACAGTCCGGAAAAGAGGTGGGGACTTTGGGGGGAGGGAGGAAATAATGCAACAATGAAACAGTATTTTTTTTTAAATTTTTTTTTTTATTTCAATGAATATCTACAGAGATTTTGGAATTCCATTCATTCATTATTGCATTTTTCTCCCCCCC